ACGCTGGGGAATATTAATATTGCACCAGTAAGTACTGGAAGGAAAATGATAGTGAACGCGCTGTTTTATACGTAATCCACACAAAGGCAAAAGACCTTTCGCCATAATGATTCCCCTGTTTCAGCTGGGCCGTTAAACTTATGAACAAATGTCCAACGTTTCTACGTATGTTGAAACTGGCGCTTCAAAGGACCATATTTCTCTAAGAATCTGTTTCAGGGGAAGTTGGCCTGGTCTAGGAGCAGTCTTCAACTCGGTCTGAACTCACGCGCGCTGTCACTGTTAGTGTGTGCAATCGATCCGCTTTCTTCACTAGTGCCTTTTTTAGAACTGTTTAGCTTGTTTACCTTCGTCGGAACAAGATGACACCGCCACCTCCCGTTGTCAACACTGACAGTATACGAGAAGCCGAAGTTCTGGGAGAGATAGCCGTCGAAGGTTTGTACAAGTATGGTCTCCCGTCGATGATTCTATGCATTGGTGCTACATTCTTGATGCGCAGGCGTGTCGCTGGTTTCACGGCGACTCGGGCTGAGCGCTTTATCTTGTCTGCGATGCATTATTACGCTGCTTCGGATATTGGTTTCAACCTTGGCATGAAAATATACGAGCCGACATTCGAGCAGAAAGTCGTGGAAAGAATTCCTAACAGTGATTACGCCAAAATAATACGAGAAAGCAGGCGATTTGGTTAAACCTTTCGACTATAAAAACTTGAATTCATAAGTGTGACTGAATGCAAAATCTTTAATTTAAAAAGAAAAAAAGACAAGTAAAAAAAGAGTATTTCCCGTTCCTTATCAGGTTTCCACGATTTAAAGAAGAAAAAAATTATGTAAAAGCTGATTTTTGATCTGCAAAAGTATCTTCTGAATATTATATTCAGCATGGTAAAGCAAGAACAATTTGACTGAAATATGAAAAGAAATAATTAAACGAAACTTTACGTGGAAGTGATTTTCGGTTACTTTGTAAGCTTCCTCTTCTTTGTGAACGATAGAAGACAATTGTGATTTCCCTTTTTATTGTTTCTTCGAGAAGTTCTAATTCACTGCCAACTTGTTGGTCTGAACAGCTTCATTGAGTATCTAACCAGGTGGGTTCCATCCCACTTGGCGGGCCACAACCCGTTAGCTGGAGACCGGACAGCCTCGGTTTACAAACCACACAAATAATAATACTCGTGCGTTGACAGTAACTCTGTAAAGTTCACAACCTAACGCATAATTTCAGCAAGCAAATCAAGTCTAGTTCAAATCAGCTTCCTGTTAACTGCCGGTGAAACAACTGAATATATATCCTCTGTAGTGAGTTTATATCAGCAGTAAATGTTTTTGCTTCCAACAAAAGCGTTTCGGTGTTCAAGTATTACTCAGACCACTGTGGCAACAGCAATCTGTTGGAGATCATTATCGAATAACAATAACAATTTCAGTATGCTTCTGTAAATATTTCCTGCAAAACATTTGGTTTTGTTGTTACAAGTTTTTAAATAAATCCATTACCGACCAGTTGTCCTAGTTTTGTTAATATGATGTTGACTATTAACTTTTTCTGGTTTTCGATTAGTCTTTATTTCATTACGTTTTCTCCTGTGGATAATTTATAATGTAATTAATTTGTTATTTATTTTTTTTTTTTTTTTTTTGCAAACTAATCATGTTACCATTTAAATCTGTTTACTTTAATATATATATATATATATATATATATATATATATATATATATATATATATATATATATATGGTTTGAACAACGGATCAACATAATGGCACAAGAGTAGTACTCGCAAATGCTCCGTTCTACTTCTAACTTAAGCATGAGTCCCAAAATTCTCAGCGCAACGCACGAATTCCAAAGCACCGTCGAGGATCCTTAAACATTTTGAGTAGACTTTTAACTCCAAATTTTTCCAGGGCAGCACTTTAAGGCTACTCTTTTTGATTTCCAAATGCCAATAGATTTTTGTACGTGCGCAGCAGTACACACGGGTGTCCGATTTTACACCCAGAGATCAGGGGAAATTACAGTAGTAGAAGCCCACGTAGTCGGCTCCGTGGCTACGTCGTTGCGAACGCTTCGTAATGCCGGGATGCCGGGTCCGATCCCAGCTGCGGGCCATGCGCCTTACGTTGGTTTCGACAGTGGTATCAAGAAAGCCGACCGTCCAGAAAGCAATGGCAAACTACTGGACTTAAATTTGCCTAGAAAAACCACACAAGAGCCAGAAGCTGTTGGGGTTGGTTCTGCAACGTCCTGTAAAGGATACGCAACTAACCAGAAGTCCACGTAAAGAAATCCCAGCTTTCACAAGGGCCTGAACCCGGGAACTCTAGGAGTCAAGGCGGACGCCATGCCTCGAGACGACTCAGCTTGTTAATTAGATTGATGCTAATTTGACCCACTCTGTCCGTTAATCATTTTGTCTGTTTCTATTTTTTTTTAAATATAATTAATTTTTTTTTTTTTTTTTTTAAATATATCAAAAAGTGAAAACTCTTTACTTTAGACATGTCACACAACAGATTTAACGCAACTGGCAGTGTCGTCATTTTCACCCATGCTTCTCGTCGTGATACATGTTATATCAAGCAGTTGTCTACAGACCCTCTAAACCAGACAGATAACTGAGACTATTTTCCGTGTATGAGACGTCCCATGTTTAAAAGTATCCAATGTTTTTAGCTTAAAATTAAGAAATATATATGTTATCACACCCAGTGTATTCTTCTTCTTCTTGTGTTCGCTTTCTGATTTACACAGACAGATTCTTGTGATAAACTTGGACTGTTTTTAGGAGTTCCCTTTTAGTTCTGTACAACTTTGAGTGCAATGTTGAATCACTGGGCCAGTATTCACTTCTTAATGTGGTGTACAAGGGATATTTTGCAGGATATATTCTGTAGTCTGCACACACAACCCACAAGGGCACGGTGCTGATATACTTAGACGAAGCCTGTGCATATGCTTGTTAAATTTGTTTTGTCCTGTCCTGAGGCGTAGAATAATGACCTGCCCTTGCTGGTCAAGTAAGTGCCATCTCTGGCCAGATTCTGTTCACTTCTGATAGCCAGGATGGCCCTTTTCTTCTCATAATATGTTACTGCATTCTGTTTCCGTTCACATTCTGCCCCTTTCTTAGCAAGTGTATATGCGGTTTCGTTGCCTGGTATACCACAGTGGGGTGGCACCCATTGGAGTAGAGAATACTTTTGGGCAACCATTTTGCTAAGTTACAATTTTAAGGGATAAAAAAGATGACGAACAAAAGCCTCAGACATTTGTCCGAACTCTACATGCATACAGTATCTAGAACTGTACAAGCTATTCTAAAACATCCATAATTTCTGTACCTTTTAACTCTTTCAGAACTTGCCCATAATTATATATATCTTTTATCCCGAGAAGTTCTAGTTTAAAGAGGCCAATGTTTGAGCCCAAATAAGACACATACAGAAACATTGCTCAGAGGAAGTAAACCTAACAGATCGGGTTAATCAATTAATGCAACAACTATCTACAAGAGAAGAAGAATCGGTAGCTTGCAAAGCTTTGCACTAACTAATTAACTTATTAGGAATTATTTATCAGGACTCTATTTATGTATTCAAAGTGCCGATGGTCTATACAAATATAGGTCTAACCCAATACGCCTAAAGGCGTGGAAAAGGGTCCTTTACTTATTTTTGTATTAGGAGTTTAATACCACGAGTTAAAAGCTTCCATTCATCGCTTCTACTAAGTACATGTGTCCTTTGCGGATCTGAGGGTAAAACTAGCACGGCGCTGCGAAAGAAGGACACACTATGAGAGGAAATGGACATCTTTAAACTGTGAGGGGACAAAGCACAATGAAAAAACACATCAATGCCGATCCGTGTTCTCCATCGGCAGCCTCAGCGACAAAGGATTGGTCGTCTCACAGCTGTAGAAAGCGCTTAATGATATTTAATGTGACACGATTTACCAATGCTTGTCGTTCTACTTCTCCAGCGTGAATAGTAATCCTTCAGTGGAAGAACAGAGACGTCAAAAAGTCGCTGCCGCGTTGATGGGGAAGCTCTTGTCGGGGTCGATCTAAGTGAGAAGCCAAACAGGCAAGCTGTTTGAAACTGTTTCAACTCCATTTGAATCGCGTCGGCCAGGCTTTTCCCAGGATATGATCCCTGTAAGGATGGGCCCCACCAAAATCGTCGTTTATGGACAGGTCGACATCTGCACTGTCACACAGACGGATGCCATCCCAGACTCTGTCCATTTGGTTCATATTTGCCTGGCGTTGAATGCTTATTTCTCTTTGAATTTGTTTGCCTGAAAGATTCGAAGACAAAAGCATGTCAGACAATACCCTCTTAGTAGCTTTTATACGCGTAATGGTGAAATATTTGAGTCGCTGAAGTGAACAGATTTTTGGTGGCATCTGAAGTTAGGAAATGATACAGACAACACTATTACTTGGTTTGCTAAATGCACAATCATAGACTAAACAGAAGTAAATTGTTTAAGTAACTAGTGTATCAGTTCGTCCCACAGTCATTATGAAAAAACAATTTGGTCTGCTCTTTGCTTATTCATAAACTACAAGAGATAATAATTGTTAAAGGCTGGCATTACTTGGCAATAACTCTTCCCACCCACCTCTTTGTGTGTATGTGTATGTGTGTGTGAGCTCTTTTTTTCTGGCCTTACCCATTACCAGCACCTTTTTAATACATCATTTTTCAGCGCTTTGATAATAGACACTTTGCGGTGAGTACTGGCACTTTTTTAACCTCACCTGGTGAGTACTGCCACTTTTTCTAGGAAAATACCGTAATACACATACGCCGTTCTTTTTCATCTTCTTGGCGTTGATCCGTTGTAAACTCCTGGTGGAAAGTTCTGGTTGTTCGTCCACTTCTGAACTTTAGCCTTGTTGCAGGACTTCAGCTTTGCGCGCACATACGTTATTACAGATCTGGCTGGTTTTGTATTCCGCACACCCTCTCTTCTCCTACACCCGCCCCCTCCCCATCTTTCCGCTCTCCCCCATTTTTTCTTGGGAGTTTTCGTGGTCGCATGCCAGAGTAGTAGTTAGTAGTCGCGATGTTGGTGACGGTTATGGTATTAGTAGTAGTAGTGGTGGTAGTAGAAGTAGTAGCAACAGCAGCAGCAGCAGTAGTAGTAGTAGTAGTAGTAGTAGTAGTAGTAGTAGCAGTTGTAGTAGTAGTAGTAGCAGTTGTAGTGTTAGTAGTAGTAGTAGTAGTAGTAGTAGTAGTAGTAGTAGTAGTAGTAGTAGTAGTAGTAGTAGTAGTAGTAGTAGTAGTAGTAGTAGTAGAAAGTAGTAGTAGTAGCAGCAGCAGCAGTTGTGGTGGTGGTGGTAGTAGTAGTAGTAGTAGTAGTAGTAGTAGTAGTAGTAGTAGTAGTAGTAGTAGTAGTAGTAGTAGTAGTAGTAGCAGTTGCAGTGGTAGTAGTAGGAGTAGTAGTAGTAGTAGTGGTAGTAGTAGTAGTGGTTGTCGTGGAGTGAACAGCCAACCCTAGACGATGGACGAGTCGTGATGCTGACTTCCCTTAGCGGGCAGTCACATTTCAAACTTAAACCCGTCCGGAGGGGTATATAGTCCCTTATATTGATATATACCTTTATCTGGTGAAATATTCATTTCTAGACCCTCTAGTTGCTTTGAGATATCTTCATTTTCAAACTTACAACT